CGAATAAAATAGGAAAATCGAGTAAATTCTTGCAGTACGGGAACAGATCAATATATTTTATGGGGAGAAATGCATACTTCCCCAGATATGGGCCTTGAAAATTCGGAGAGTATGTTGTTTTAATCAGCCGTATCATTTTATCATTTTAAATGTTATGGTTTGTTCTATATAACTAGATGAAGAATATATTGCGTAGCCATGTATTGCCTTGGTGGCAATAGAAAAGGGTTGTTTTAAACAAAATATGTTCCGAAATTTCAAGGCCAATATCTCAGGAAGTATGCATTTCCCCACATGAAATGTATATCACTGTAAGCAGCACAAGGAGGGCTACTTACGGTAATCATTTCAAAATGATCCGAGTGGGGCTCCTAAACTTGACTTGTTCCATATCTGTTTGTTCTAGTTCGCTAAAACATTCTAATCATTATGGGAGCGTCCAGCCATATAAGACTTTCCGGGTTTGGAGTCGTCGGAAACTCCACTTCCATATATTCCATAATGTTTTCCTCTAAATTATACAAATAAAAAAATACACAATAAATATTAATATTATCAAAATCATGCAATGGACGCCGTTAAACTTTTTTTTTTGTGTGCATTAGGTTTCTGTAGTCTTTTTTTTTGTCCTTAACAAATGAAATTTTTGATTTTGACGTTTCTTCATGTTTTAACTATTTTTCGTTCCTTTACTTTTTGCGCAAATCTTGTATGTGAGAGTAATTTTTGATAGTTCGCTCTTTTACTAGCTTTACTATCAAAAAGTACGGGAACGAACCTATTATGATGAGGCACAATTACGAAGGTATATACACTTTATACCCTCATTAGCCATAAATCAGAGGGTATAAAAAAATAAACAGGATTAAATATTTCACACGGTAAACAAATTATTTGTATTCAACTTTAATGATGGGTTTATAGACCCAATTAATTGTAACCTATGTACGTCGGCGTGAAAGTCATAGAGATCTGGGGGACAAATTCCAGGCTATTTCATTAATACTGCCTAAAATTATTAATCTAAGGCACTTTTATCAATTCAACTTCTTTTAATGTATCTGATTATAAGTCGGAAAAGTCATAAAATTCTCCTTCACCCAAAAGCATAAAAAATTGTTTAAAGGTCTTAAATGTGTTGTAAACACAAAATTGAGGAATTTCATGAATGGACGACATTATTAGAACTACAGGTAATTCTTAAAATCCATTATTCAAGGAAATACGTTTTCCCTGAAATATTACCCTTAAATGAAACCAAAGTTATATCTATTTTTTATATAATTTATTTCCAGTATAATTATTTATTTGTGTATGTGGTTTTATTTTAATATTTATTATTTCACATATTACAATAACTAGATTTTCATTCAGATTTTTTTAAATTTTTTTGTCTTGATATTTATCATTAAAAATGTACATTAATATAGAATAGAATATTTATGTATTTTTCTTTTTTCATTTTCTTTGTTTTTCTTCAGTAATATGTATATATTTTAGTGGCATGTGGGTTGGTTTGTTTGTTCCAATAATAATTAAAAAGTTTCAGGAGTTGGGATTGGGACGTAAGGACGAACAAAAAAAATTGGAATTTCCTTGCGCAGTAGCAACAAATAAAATAAATTACAATAATTTTGTTTTTATTAAATTATTTCACTTTTTATTTTTTTCCAATAAAATTTACAAAATAATTACAATTGAAATAATAATTATAATAATGAAGAAATTATAAATATATTAATATTGATAATTGATAAACATATATTTACAAAAAATGCACATAGATAGACGACTGACTATCTGATACTTAGTTCAAATCTTATAAAATTAAAAACAAATATTCATTAATAAGGCAAATTTTTTTCCATTACATTTTTGTTGTTGTTGTGCTTTCAAACAAAAAGTGCTAACAATGTTGCTTTTTTATAAAGATACAGATATTATAAGGACTAATTTATGTTATAAAGTACAAACTTATATATAATACAATAAAGTTGTTATTAAATAAAATATATTTTTACATATGTATAATTTAAAGAAATAATAATAATATTTTAGTTTATGTATATACACAAGATAAAAAAAATTTTAAAAAATAAAGGTTTGGAATATTGTTTTGAAAGGGTTCCTCAAGCATAGGGGACTGGAAGTATGGAATAGGATTTCAAATTTCATTAACTTTTTGATACGACTTTTAATGATTTTTTAAGTCCAAACATTTTTGGGAACCCCCAATGTATAAAACCCTTTTTTCTGATATAATGACTGGTTTAATTTTCTTTTTAAAATGGAATGAAATGTAGGTTTGATTGTTTGCGGTAGGGACTAGGAAACTGACTTCCTTTGAATTTGGCTGCTGGGGCAGGGTTTGTGGGTTTTTGGATATTTTTGTTTTCTTTTGAACAGAATATTAATTTAAATATCACAATAAACGATTTATAAAATACTTGTTTTTAGCTTTTCATATTCTTTTTCGTCGTCTTCTTCTTCTTAAAAAATTTAATTCATTTTTATAATGTAAGTCGTATTTACTTCTTCTGTATAAAATTTGTTTTGCTTTTATTTTTGTAATTTGCTGTTTTTCGTTTCGGTGTAAATGTTGTTGTTAAGTCATTTTGTTTAAAATAAGAAATATATAATTCAAGAAAAATGCTTTCAAAATGTTTTGTTTTTTATTTGTATTTGTGTGTTCTTGTTGTTGGTGTTTTAGAATGCAAATATTGGCAAATAATGGCGTATTATTTGTATAATTTAGTTGTTTATTAAAATAGAAATATTGTTATATGGTTTAGTTGTATTTGACTAAGAGACTAGTACATATTTTTTTATTAAGACTTCAAGAAGTTCCTTGTTACGTTTTTCAATTACTACGTGAAATTTGGAAATTCATTTGTTTAAATTAAAAGTGGTATATTTAAAACACCTTCAGGAGTGGTATTAAAAACACTAAACCAAATAACCTCATTTCTATTGTGACTTTTAAAAATTGACTTTTTCGATGCCATAAAACATACAAATCAATCTTGAGAACAGGGCAATTTTGGAATAATTTAGTTTATAAAGGCATTAGTAGTAGTCCTAATTTGAATGTGTATAAATACAAATTTTATACAAACTCAATTCGATGTTCAACACATTTTTAATTGAAATGCCCAAATGAACGTTTTTACAATCATTCGGGCAGGATTCAAGTCTACAATCCTTAGGGCTATGCTAGTGGAATCGATGTTGAAAATAACGTAAATAATCTACACCGCACGTTAGTGAAGGGAATATTTTTGCATGAATAAAATTGCCATGTTCCCATCTCTGATTTGTATATATGTGTATATTATTTGATATTTTTCTAGACTCTGTCATGTGGTCTCAATTAAATGTACATTACTTGACTTTCAACATTCAGTTGGAGATACCAAATTAAAAATGTTATTTCAGTGTAAAAATGCATATACTCAGGCTTTTTGTATAATAAAACATGATTTCAATTCAAACAAATTTATTTAAAATTTCATTAAAAAAAAACAATTTAATTTTGTTTGTGTTTATTCATTCAACATTTACATTTACTAAAATTAAACATAAAAATTCTAAATTATATTTAATTAAAAAAATAATAATAATAGTTATAATATTAATTAACTGTAATATTGTTCTTTACAAACAATTTGTTATACATAGTATAGTTATAGGTAAATATATCTATATATAAATGTGTATATATATGTACAAAGTAAGCGTTTCAAGGATTAATTTTTATGTTTTTTTTTTTTCACAGTACACACTAAGTAATTAAGAGATATAAATTGTTTATTAAACCAAAGCAACAAAATTTCAAAACAAAAATATACAGCGTTTTGTTTTCGTTTTTTGAAAATGGAGCAAAGCTTAATTAATTGAAAATCTTTTAGAAAGATTTCCAAGAAAAAATCTTAGGTGGTTGTTTTTCTTTTTTGTTTTTTTTTTTTTCAAGTTGACTTTGTGTATATGTATTGGTGTATAGATAGCAAAAATGCATTGGTTTTTGTTTTTCCTTATATAGACAACGAAATAAGCTTTCATTTCTTGATTTAATAGGCATTTGACAAAGAAACAAATTATAATAGTTATCTTTATAGAATACAACAACAATAAAGATTAGAAGAAGCCTATTTTTTCGTTTAATATCATTCATATACAACAAATACACATAAATAGTATTGATAATAATAGGTAGATAGATAATAGATACATAGGTAGATGATTGGTAGTTAGATAGATTAATAGATACATTTGTTTGTTGGTTGTTGATTTAAATTGTTGATTGGTTGGCTGGCTGCTTGATTTTGGCCTAGTGCCAATTATTAGATGAAATTGTTTATTGTATTGTTTTGGAAAATAATGGAAATTTAACACATATTTCTCATATAGATAGGTAGTTGGTAATATACTATATAAATAAATATTAATAATATAATATTTTACATAAATTTTATACATACATATTTCATGTAAATGTGTGCGTGTAAAGCAATAAGGATACATGTTTTGTTTGTTTCATATTTCTTTTTTGGATAAGATTTTCAAAATCGTATAAAAACAAATTAATCGAATTAAAGGGGGGGCAATAAACCGAAATAACAATTTTTTTCTTTCTTAATTTTACAAGTAGTTGTGGTTGTGTATGTGTTTATATATTTCAATAAAGTAATTTTCATGTTCATTACAATCCATTGACAGAGGTTTACAATTCAAATGATGTCCTCTTTTTATTTGTTTCTAGTTTGTGCTGTAGGTTTATCTAAGATCGTTTATGGATTTCATTCACTAAATTGGGAATTCATTTTAAACATTTTTTTTTCGCAAAACATCACATATGTTGTTTTTTGTTTAGTTATTATTGTAGGTTTTCTATTTGTTTGTTTCTTTGTTTTCTAAAAATTCTATTAATTCATTGTATTAATTATTTTTGTTACTATTACGGGACTACACTTTGACCACATCCTACTTCAGTTTTGTTTGTGTTTGGAATTTTCTTTATAAATAATTCAATTAATTATTACTAAGCGCATCTTCTAAATATAATTGATGATTAGACTTACATGACTAATGGTATGGTTTCAAGTGTTCAACATAGTTTTCGGGTATAAGTCCAGTTTTACCATTTAATGTACCTTGCAACCAGCCGGGTTCGTGTGAAAAGCCAACTAAAAAAAGAAGAGAAAATAATTCGTTGGTTATTCGGTATTCAAATTATTATTAAACATTCTGTATTTTTTCACCTAAAATAATTTAAATGTTCTATTATAAAAATTACAAAAGAATTGCTATAGCTTTGTGTCCTATGGATATCTTCTGTCTTCCTTTTGTCCAAATTAATACAACTTTGCTAATAACTCAGGCATAACTTATAGTGGAGAAAATTTCATAGACATAATAGAAGTTATAGCCATTCAGTCTGAGAAATAGTCAAAACGTCATAGGGAAATTGAAATAATTGCTGTATTTTCTTTGGTTAGGCGGGGCTCTATACTCTGATATGGACCTCCATATTTAGAATTTTTCTCATTTCAACCACCTGTTGGGGTCAAGGACAGAGGGGTCTTCCATCCGAAATAACCCGAGTCTTATGCGGCAAACGTCTGTAAACTCAGCCATTATGTAAAAGCAGAAGGACTGCTACAATAACAACAAGGTATTCTCGGAGGCGCAAAATATCAGATCATAACCATAAACCCATAATACCCCATTAGTTAGAACTTTAGGTTTTAGGACGAAGTTTGGTGTTCACACATTACCAAGGCATTAAAGTACCTTCGGTACCTAATTTTTATTTTTTGAACAAAATTATTTGGAGTATTAGATTCTATAGCAGACATTTTGAATATACGTTTGACACAAAAGTGCCGAGAAGAATTAACCTCTGTAAATAATATAAAGGGTATACAAACTAACATCTGGTAATCAGTACTAAGTGATATATGTATGTATATGTTTCTAATTGTATTACATAGCTCCTTCATTTATATTAGGTCAAATGGTGACCAAACCAGGACTAACGGCCATGAAGGTTCTGCTATGCATTTTGTGGGACTGGAAGGGGCCAGAATTGGCCAACAGGAGAAGTGTCGTGTTTCACCAGGACAACGCTAGGCCACACACTTCTACTTGGTTGGGAAGTTTTAATGCATCCGCTATACAGTCCGGACAAGGCACCAAGCGATTATCATATCTTTCTTGCATTGCAAAATTTCTTTAAAATTGGTATCTAGGGAGGATTGCGAAAATCGACTATTAGAGTTTTTTTGCCAATAGAGAGCAGGACTTCTATGAGAGAGGCATTATGAAGTTACCTTTAAAATGGCAGCAAATCATACAACGGCCCAAATCGGACATTCCGAAGCATGTCAAATAAAGTCCTATAGTTCACATAAAAATTATGGATTTATTTTTGCCCAACTTAATATTTATGACTGATGTCATTGTTACTGTTTATCTCCCTGACATACCAGATGTTTGCTAACATTTATTGAGATCTTGTTATTGGGACCTGACCTGTTTCATGTATATTAAATTTGACTTACCATTCGTAATAATTTGATTTGGTTCAAATGATAGTTCACCCTCACTTTCACCCAGACAAGCGTATAACGTTCGCACTCGCCTACAATAAACAAATTGAAATTTATTCCTTTCATAATTCAAATAAATTTTCAAATTACTTACGCTGTACCCGCTTCTAAATCTCTCTTAATTTGATTGACATCTTTGTTGCGGTGCATTTTCTGTGGTGTATATTCATTGGGTGAACTACCCGTACTGCCCACTATCATAGAAGGAGCAGCTGTTGCTGTAACCACATCATCCACCTGCGATCCCAGCAGTGTTGACAATGATGTGGCTTGTGAGGAATGTGGCACATAATCTATGGAACCGCGGGCGGATAAGAAACGACTTGACCCTCCTGTTCCTCCTCCACCTCCACCACCACTGCCACCATTCGTTGATGACAGGGAATCACAAACACTTTCGTTGGAACTCGATGTGGAGGCAGCGGCGGCTGAAGAATAGTGTTTATTTTGGGCATATGGCAGATGATTGCTGCGCTGCAGCTGTACGGGCGGATGTTGTTGTGGTCCATTACCAGTAGAGCCAATACCACCGGTGCTGCCACCATATAATGCTTCCTTACGCATGGCCAGTGTTGGTGGTGAGACATTATTTAAGCTAACGCGATTTGCCGTGGTATTAGTACCGTATATGGATGTGGAGGCTGGTGTTGCTGTCGCCATTAAATAATCGTGCCGTAGATTTGTCGCATTAGCCGGTGTAGCATGATGGGCTGTCAGACCACCGTTTGTGTTCGACGACAAAATGCCATAGACAGGATCATTTGCATTATTACGACGCATACTAATATCGCTCTGCGACATTGAATGTAGATTTTTAACACTGCCCATATTGACGGACATGCCCAAACTCTTGGGACCACTACTGCCACCGTTTGAGGTGTGTGTTGACATATGACCACCATTGGTGCCATTCGAGGTAATGACATTAGTGCTACCACCGCCGCTGCCGCCGCCACCACTAGTACCATAAATCATACCATTTGGAATGTTTTGAAGACTCGAAGACATGGGTGAATCGGTGAAATTCGATTTGGCCACTACACGATAGACTTGCTGTTGTGGCGAGTACATGGAATTTCGTCCCACCGAACCACCACCACCTCCGGCTAAGATGGCCTGTTTCGATTGATTGGAACGTGGCACCCTGACCGGAGGACTACTGGAATTATTTTGTAGGTGTGTACTAACCGTACTGGGATCATTTTTGAAAATACGTTCATAGTTATCAATAAGAATATTGATGACAATATTGTTGAATTTAATATCCAATATGGCAGCCACGGTTTCTTCTTGGGGTCGCAGTAATGTTGGACCAAATACAACGCCCAAATTAAATACAGACATTTTATTTTTCTCGAATTTGCGAGAGACTCTGTAAAAGAAGAAAATGTTTAGAATTTATCAAGATCAGATAAAAAATAGAATATTTTACTTACTCGGTCAAATGTCTGATGACCATGTCAAGCATTTCAAAATTTGGTTGGGGTAATTTATAAACCAATTTATGGACTTCGTGAACACGTTGATTAAGACTTTCTTGTTCTAAATTAAAAACAAAAACGGAAATTACAATCCCTTCAATATAGCAATAATTAACAAAAATTCAAACTTACTGGCTGCTTCAATGAAACCGCTATGATAACGATACGTCATCAATGGTTCATTTAAGTTGCGCAAATATGTCTTAAGTGCACTGGCTATTGTATTACTCTCCATGAGATCGCGGTATTGTTCTTCGGTAAAAACTGACTCAGCTTTTTTGCGGTCCATGCCCAAAGCTAAAAGTTTCGATATTTTGGTACCCACACCGCTTTTGCGATATATGCCCTCATCTTCCAGTCCCCTACTCTCCAGGACTTCAATGCATTTGCGTACAAATGCAAAACCCACCTCATCTAACTGGTATTCTTCGCCGGCCTTTATTTTGCCCGGTGCTAAATATGTCTATTTAGGGAAGAGGAGAGGGGAATTTAATAAAACTGTTATTTGTATTTTCATGTTGTTAAAACCTACCGGCTCTGTTCCATCCATGGCGTTTATCCACGCTCTACGATCCTCTTCACTTAAAGCTTGGAATGTATAGACAGTTCCTGGTTTCTCCTTGAATGTCAAGTCGAAACAAAATCTTTTCTCAAACTCAGATGCTCTTCTTTGGCACGATACTAGTGTTAGACGTTCCTCTTCTCTGTGTTCGGGTCTAGCAAAACTGTGATTCATTTGATTGAATTGTAGCATAGTAAACTCCTTCTTCTGCTTTTTGTAGGTGCAATAATATTTTGTCCATGTTGCCTTGAAGGGTTCTAGAAGAGAGATTTTCAATAGGGAACCTAAATTACGGTATTAATGTCATGTGAGTACATTCAGATGAAAATAAAAAAGTTATTTACAATGTGTATATACATAATGTAATGTATGTAGGGCACCACACTAGACGAATGTAATTTTGTCAATGAATTAAATATGAAAAATGCCAATTAGAGGACAACCATCACCAAAGTCATGAAACTTTTTCTGATAGGTTAATTTATGAAAATTAATATGTCGTTATAAAAAAATGTTATGCACCGGTACATATCTATACATATTTTATATGAAAAGAGGTACGTGCATTATATACATTACATCTGTGGGCGAAGTTGGGTTTGTAGAAACTTACTTTTTTCCATCAAAAATAGATAACCGCGTTTTGTAAACTTTTCTTCGGGTTTCTGAAAAAAAGTTTATGAATATTAAATTAAATATTGTATTTTTTAATAAAAAATGAGAAATTTTACAGACAAAATATAGGTATTTGAAGAGTATTTTAGCTAAAAAACTTTGTCTAAATTTGAAATCTGTATTATAGTTCCAGTGAATAACAAATATAAAATTTGTACGACATTTTTAATTTACTCAGGCCTGAGTTTATATGGAAGAGAGACATATTGTCGGATTTTATAAAAGAACGAATTAAGAAAAATTCAAAATTTCAAGATATCAAAATTCAAGTTTTTGTAATGTGTGAAATATGCATATATAATCTATATTTGCCCAGAATTGTGTTAAAAATAAATTCAGAATTCATACTTAGGGTCCTCGAGGTTTGTTGTATCTTCCCAACTTTTGGCGAGTATTGATCCAAAACACCAAAGTCTTTAACAATATTCAATATCAAAAAAAAAAAAAAAAACTGTTACGTTGGTAAATCACCAACCTATAGGGACGTTGATAGTTTCCACACTTTCAGAATGGGATTATACAACAGTAATAACGCCAGGTCTGATTAGCGCCCCAGTAATTAAGAGGGAAAAACTTCTATCAAAAAATTTTTCAAAACATTAGAAATTGAGTCTGCAAGTTTTTCACGTCTAGTACATCAAAGTCATAGTATCGAACAACAACAAATTAAGTTACAATACTTGAATGTTGGAAGTACAAAGCATGAAATTCTATTTTGCTAACTCGAATATAGCCGAGACCACTGTCATTATCACTTAGAAATCACTGGTATGTGGCGTCAAAATTTAATTTGTATGTAATCAGTTAATCATACAAAAAGGCTGCTGTTTAGTTTTAGTATTGAAAAACGACATGAATCAATCACTTAGAAATTTGCAAAAACATCAGTTCGGACAAATCGAAATCTTAGAAGGTCCTTAAAACCATGTTTTTGAAGTTGCTGATGGATAACAATGGCATACATCTGTCAGTCATCGGAGAAGGTTTATTCTATACAAAATATTTCAATAGCTTGGCGTTGTCCCGAAATCGGGCGACTATCGAAGAATACCTAGCACTAATATTGAGATAATCGTTTTTATCTATAAAATGTCTGTAAAATTTGTTGTTTTATTTGATCGTCTTTTCTACTTACTGTTCTCTTTTCCATGTATTTCAATTTAAGTTCAGTAATATTTTCTCGCGTTCCTTCAAAATTTTCGCGAGTCTAAAATAAAAAAATGGAAGAAATTAGCAAATCATCTCATAAAATTAATTTCAAACTTACTTTCTGTACTTTATGCCTTAAATCCTGCAAATAATCTTTGTTGTCTTCCGCCGATTCATGTGCCGTATGATAGAAGACTAACCAACTGGAAATGAAAGCCAACAGAATTTCGACAAATTCAAATTTGATGCGTTCCTGAACTTCTTGTATGCGCAGAACATAGCTTAATGATTCCTGGACATATTCACGTTCATGCATACCCAAACTGGCATCGGCCTAAAAATAAAAAAAAAATGGAGGGGAAAAAATTACAATGTTGATCAATATGCATTTTAGGGGGAAAATGAAAGAGGTTAATGAGCAAAGGTTAAACATCCTTAACAAAAAAGTGTTGGTGATGACAATTCTAAGAAACCAACAGGTATTCCATTAAACTTTTTATAGCAGCATAATATGGAATTAGTGCTAAAGGATAAACAAATTTTAAAAAAAATATACTGCAGTTAAAAATGTCAGCACAGTTATACACTGATAAATTTAAGTTATTTCAATTTGATATCGGTTTGCTGTAGCATTTCTGAATTGAGACTGAATTTTATCTAGCCATACCAGTTGTTTTATTGTTATAGTGGTAATATCATTTAAATAAATAACCACATTAACCATCTCTAACCACATAGGGGTAAATGCTTGCTTTTGCTATCTTCAAAATTTCGAGCTTTCATGTATCATTGCCCAATTATTATAGTCTAACGATATTCCCACTAATTTTAATTTTAAATTTTCTATCAGTGTACGAAACGCAAATATTTACATTCACATTATTTGTAGTAATTGAAAATGCTGTTGTGGTCATGGGATGCACATGTGGTCGGTGGTATTGGTGAATAACTCACTGAATTGAATAGATTCCCTGGAATGTGAATGCGTTTGGAAGTTGACCTTTGTGCGCATTTCAGATAGTTTCATAGTTTTTGGACATATTAATAAACTGACATTTTCACATACAGACATGTATGTACATACCAAATGTGTGTGTATTTTGAAAAGTTCAATTTTTGTGGATAAATAAACAATGATCATTGTTAATGAAATGAAATACTTTTTTTTTTGGAAACGATGTCACTTGCAGCTTCTATGGATAAAATTTACGAAAATGATTTTCATTAGAAAATAGGATTTTGTTGGAAAATTATAAAAATAATATTTGTAAATGAATTAAGAAAAAAGAAAATCATGTAATGGGGGGTTTAAAAATAGTCAAAAGAAAAACAACGTCAGATTGCGATAACATTGCAGATTGCGTCCAAGTCTAATATTAGACAACAATACTTGAATGTCGGAAGTAAGAGGTCTGTGTAGTTTAAAGGCATGTAAATCTCAGCAAGTTATAACTGTTATAAAGTAGAAAATTACTTCAATATTAATAGAGAATAGTCTGAATCCTGTGATAGTTACACTAAACCTAACCCTTTCAGACTCAAAGACATTAATAATTTGCCGGAGTTCGTCCCATTTTATTTTCTATGTTCTAAAGGAATAACAAAGCAATACTAAACCAATAAAACTTAATGAACAGACTCATACATATGTTTAGTAGATTCTTCTAAAAAAGGTCAGATCTCACAATTAATTAAGCTGGGTCAGAAAGTGTTAAAACATGTTCGAAAATATCGATAAAATCTACTGAGAATGTTGAAACTAGTAAGGAAGTAATTTCAGTATTTTCAAAAGATTGAAGAAAATACAAAAACACAAAAAATATTACAATGTTGTTTTATTTAACTTTTTTCCCATTATTATTCCTCTCATATAAATTCCTCTTCTTTCATTTGTAAAACACATACAAAGGATATTTACAAACAACGATGACCAATACAAATTGTGTTCCTTGTGTCCCTCACTTCATCTATGGATTTCCTTCGTAGTTGGTTATTAATTTGGCGCGTCATACTGCCGACATGTTTATGTCAATTTGTCGCTGTATTTGTTATTGTTGTGACTCTTCTTCTTCTTGTTATTGTCTACAACTATTTTTACTATTGAACATTGCTTCATATCCTTTAATAGTTTAAACTTTATGAAGACTTGGTAATTTACTACTGTTGTATGTATTGTTCCTGTAGTATTGAAAGAAGACAATGCAATAGAAATTTATGAGGTTTGTAAAATTCTACAAATTTAGAGGTGATAGAAATTGGATTGTGATTTAATATGAAACAAGTAAAAACACTTTTTATACCCTCCACCATGAAGGGAGACATTTCAAATACTTATCACCGATTGGAATATTTAAATGGGGCTATGTCAAGGTACGAACTACCAAACTACAGTTTGAAAAATTGACGGATAAAAAACATGTCTGAAATTTACAAAATATGAGATTTTAACTCAATGAGAACCCAAACAACGAAATAGTCCATTTGGTTACAATTTGGCCGAACCCATAGATAACCAATAAAACACCAAATAACAGCAAATGTGGTTGAAAAAATGTGCCCAGAATACCGAGTAATGGAGGGTAACGTTATATCCCGGTTTTAAATCGACTCACACCTTACAAGGAACAGAGGAACATCTACAATTTCTCAATCACAGTCTGTAAGCGATATTGATCTGAATTTGAGTAACAAATGAACAATTCTGCATCATTAATTCAAAAATCACAATTTTTGATTTATGCCGGTCTTGCAGCGATTGAGCGATGCAAGACCGGCATAACGTGGACGGATATATCCAATTTTCAGTAAAAAAAGGAACAGTCGTTCCTTAATAGCAGGGTTTTCATTCTGCAGATATTTTAAAGAACAGTGGTAGTTGTAAGAACCTGGTGACTTTTAAGTAGATTACAGCCGGTTCGATGATCACAGCAATCAGAACAATCATCGCAGCAGTCGAAAAAATCGACACTTATTGATCACAAAGAACTCTGCTTGAAATACGGTGGAATAGCTATTAAGTTTGTTTGCGAGTGGATGATGTTTAAGTCTTCGTTGTGGATTCCGGTGCCTATGCCAGATCGACCTGAGTTTGTTTGATTATCAGCTTTCTAAATAGTGATTGTAAATTTAATTTCATACTTTGCATGATCTCAGTAAATACTTCACAGCTTATTCAGCTAAAAGCGTATGTGTGTGACAAAATTCGTCACAGACCAAAGTAATTGGATATCACATTAGCGATAAACAAATTTCGGAATCCAACTCATATGTCCAATAGTATTTCCTCAGTTATTTAACACAAATATTAAAATATATAGAAGGTAAGATCAATTATTGCACAACGTTTCTATCGTATACACCGGTCGCTATAATCGATGTTAAAAAATCAGGTCTTTTTTCAAGACTTTTGTATTTTGTCGTTATAACCGACATGTCCTTATAAAGGATGCCATCATAAGAGATTTCGATTATATTCCTGTAAATCGATTTCTAAAAAACTTAACAGACATCATAGAGACAAACTATTTGGGACCCGTTTGTAATGTTGGTTGGACACATATGACGGTACTGGAGCACCATTTACATGAAATCTGACCATGTTTTAGTGATTTCTTCAAATTTAAATTACATATTCTCCAAAACACAGTGAAAAATATATATTTCATGGACCTATACGCACAAATGGCTAGAACGTTGGCATGGAGCTAAAACGCTTCAGTTTGTCCAAACATATTCCCAAAATTTTCTACATTTATTTTTTATATTGAAACATTTAACTGGAGATAAGTACTGGAGTCATTCCCAATTTCTGGTTTAAAATGGCAAAATGTATACAATTGAAATTGAAAAAAAAATCCTATGAGCCTAAAAGTATGCTTCATTTTTGCGAAAATATACTTCATGTTTATTTTTCAATTATTTCTTAAACACTTACCAATATAACAATAAAATATACATTTCCGATTTAAAGGGCCGTAAAATTAGCTTGGTTTATTAAACGGATAAAAATCTGCCTTTGAATTTAATTGGTTTCTTCGAGTTTTATAGGAAGACTTTTTAACGTTGCTTCCCAAACTATATATGCATGGGCATTTACACATTAATATATAATTGCCCTATATATACTTGTGTATATATGTATTCTAATGTGACATAAGGAACTTTTAATGTTTGTTGTTCGTTTCTTTTTTTCTTATCAAAATTAATGTATAAAAAAGTTGCGTTAGTTTGGATGGATTAATTTCCAATTGGCTTTTTCATATTGGTCTCATTGTTCCATAAAATTGGAATTAGTTTAGAATGGAATATTTTTTGGCAAATATTTTCACTTTTCATAAATGCGTCACAACTTTCACTTTTCACTTTGGAGATATTACAAAACACACAACACCCCGACCACGGCCACAGACAACAACATTTTATGGCTTTTCTCTGTATGCTAAGAAGAATTTTCTTGCTGAAAATTCATGAAGAAAAGCGGAAATTGTTTTCGGCACAGGATACAACAAATTCATTAGACGGAGCACCAAACACAGAAATTCACTATTTTCTTGATTCAAAATGTTTTTAATTTTTGCAAAATTTCTCATAAATTAATGATTGTAGTCTTTGTTTTCGATGTTTCAATTTTCCGCAAAACGTATTTCACGAATCAGAGGAGAGAGTGAGAGATAAAAGTCGAGCAGGAAAATTAAAACTTAAAGACTCAACAGCACATCAGCAGCAGTACTAACAACTTTATTAACCGAAATTCCATAGAAAACTCTGTCGACGAGAACAGGCTATTTGGTTGGATGGCTGACTAAATGGCTCGCTGGCTGGCTGGTTGGCTCTTATTCTTTGACATTTGCCATAATCGCAGGCATAACACACACTCGCACGCACCCAAAGTGGATACATATAGAGTTGGAAGTTCAAGCAAAAAAGGGGAGCACAACAAATAACAACAACAAAGCAAAACATGAAACTAAGTGGTGTAGTACAATGACAACAGCACCAGCAACAACAAAAACTACAGCAACAATTGTAAAAACATTACGATGAAGTAGAAAACGATGACAACAGGAACCCTCTTGTCGGTGGCAATAGCAACAACAATAACAACAACAAAGGCAACAACTGTAGTAGTAGTGTATCAAAACAGATGGCAGCACAGATATTTGGTGGCGCTTAGGTTGAGAGCAGCAACAACAAGGTGGTAGTATGGCGGGAAAATTGTGGGTGGGTTTGGGGGCTCGCTCTTAAAATACATACATGTCTTGTATGTTGTTGACAACAAAAAGGAGAGAGAGAGAGAGTAATATTGAAATGAGTAAGATAAAATTTTGTATAAAA